GCCGAGCGTAGGCAGCGCTGAGCTGCGGCCGTGATTCACGCGCCGGCACCGTCGCCCGCTGTCGAGTTCTGCTCCTCCACCTCTCGCTTCGCTGATCTGGCAGGCGCCCAGGCAGCATCCCCGCTGCCAGATGGTGTCCGTCCCCTCCCACGCAGGTGCTCCGAACGGGGCCGATTCCCTCCTCTTCCATTTCCAGCAGCTTTCTTCCACGTCCTCCCTTCGGTTGGATGCGCAGTTCCTCCGGCACGTGACGGTAGCAAAGCACAAAGACTTGTGCTGACCTGAGGACGCGGCTTTCGCGGTGTTTTGTGATAAGAAGCCATCGACCTGCAACCTATTTAAGCCCAATCTTTCACCCAGGGTAGGAAACGCTTCCACGTGTGAAAAGGGGAAAATCCCAAACAGTAACAAACCCCCTCAGCGATTCAAACGGGGTTTCAGCTACTGAAGGTCACGTCAATCGAGAACAGCAGACGGAAGATCAATCAGTTTGCCCCGGTTTTCTTTTTTTTTTTTTAAGACGGCTAATGCTGATTGAGACAAAAAAAGGCAGAGAACCAAGTTCATCCCAAAGCAGTTGGGTCGATGTCGGTCCAGGAAAATTAATGGCAGAGCTGATCAGGGATAACTCATGCAGATTTAAATAAACAGATGATGAATTAACACTAATGAACTTCCAACTCCTCTGGAAGAATAGCTGGGGTGGGTTTTTTAATCAAACCTGTAATTAGGTTTGTTTGACAGTTGTTGGGATGCAAGACTGTTGGGCAGTCACGTTTGTCATTTACCAATCTGTATCGTTAGGACAGATTCAATGGCTTAAGAACCGGCGACAAACCCTGAAAGGAATTAACAGGGGTCGTTAACTTGGGCCCACGGACACGCAGAGCACCCCGGCCAAGCGGCGAATCTGGGACGAGGAACAGAGACGGCCCCGCAGCGTGGGAGACGCGGCCCAGGAGCAGGAGGACGGTTCGACTGCTTTACGCAGCGCCGGCGCGAGAACTGGAATGCGTTATTTTTTCCCCCGCCCCTCCATTTCCAGTTTTCACAGAAGTTATTTCCAGCCTTCGAAAAGCAAAACAAACGGTTTGAAGCGTCGCGCTCGTCGACCGCAGGGAGCTCGCTGTGCTCTTCGGGCGGACGGAAGCGGAAGGAAAGCACGCGTGAGCGAGCGCTCGCTACCAACTGCGGGAAGGGGAACCGGTCCTGGTCCCGAACCAGTCACCCCGCTTCACTGGGGTCTCCGTGTCGCCGCTACAGCAGGAGGCCAGTCCTGTCCGGATGAACCAGCGCTTCGCTAGCTGGCAGCTCCAAATAGGAAGTTTTTAACTTATTTGTCATTTCGTTCTTCCACGCAGGTCAACGATATCCATCTCCATCCACGCTTGGGATAGATTTGCAGGTGGAAATCTTCGCCCCGACATCTTCACGCCGAGCTCCGAGCACCTCTGTGGCGCTCGTCAGGCTCGTTAAGGCACCTCCAATTTTCCCTTCTTGCCAAACCCACCAGGTTTTTGTGCCCAAAACCCAGCGATAAATCAGGAAACCTACCGGTTGGTAGTTGATGGCTGGATTCATGCTTGGAGTTGTAGTGCGGATGAGGCCAGGTTTAGGAGGAACCCGCTGCCCTTGTAACTGGGCAGGGTTCGGAGCGATCACACGCTGCGACATAAGCATATGGGGCAGAGTCGTGTTTGTGGCAGACCTAATGACACTGTGACCCTGTCGAGAAAGGAAACGAGAAATAAAGCATCAAAAAAATGCAACAGCAGAGCATTTCCACTTACTTGTAATTCAAGTTACCTTCTAACGCGAGACACCGCTCAAATAACTTCACTTCTCCTTTAATTGCCCTTTATTTTAAATCATCAATGCCATTTTGCCTGGACAGAGGGTGTCTCAAGTTAATATATTGACATTTTCTGTAGAGAGGCTGGAATTGCACCCGAGTCAAGAAAAAAAACTAAGGGTCTTGTGGAGCAACCGTTTCCCAGGAGCGAGCCAGCTCACTGACAAGAGGACGAACCTCCAAGATCCAGGCTGGGATGTTTCGGGAGGTAATCTTCAAGACACACATTTCGCGGCTTACGTCCGCGCTAAAAACAACCGCGTCGATTCGATCAATACGGAAAAATTCATAGGAAAAAGAAGGGATTTAAATAAAAAAGGAGGCTGTTTGCCAGCTGCGTAGAGCTATTAAAACCAGAATTCACATCGGTGCCTGAGTTCAAAGTGAGTTATGAGAGCCCGGACCAGCCAGGAGATGGGTGTTTGCCGTCGGTGCAGGAAAAAAAGGCAGAGGCTTGTTACAAACCTCAATCCCGGGCAGTCGGAAACACGACGCCGGGATTGGAACGACCCGAGCGCAGGCTGAGCCAGGGCTTGACCTGCCCGGGCTTCTCCTAACGCCCAGCTCACAGCGAGCTCTTCGTGGCTCTGAGCACCGCCAGAACGGCTCCGAGGGGCGATGCCAGGTCCAAGGGCTCCATTTTTTTATCAGAAATGATCTTAAAACATTAAAACACCTCCTGGCTGACAACCTTTTCCTCTCCTGCTCCCTCTGTTCTTCTGGGTTTGGGTTTGTTGGGGGTTTTTTTTATTTATTTTTTACGAGACTTGTTCTAGATGAGGTTCTTCGCTGTCACACGTAAGAAAAGCTTCACAAAGACTGCGCAAACAATGCGTTTCCTCTTCTCCCAAAGCCCATTTCCTTTACCAGCCTGATCCCACTGCAAAGTCACAATAGACTTGACCCCGAATCGTTGCCATAGCAAAGAAAACAAATGCCACAAACAAAGAAGATGGTTAGCGGAGGGAGTAAATGATCAGCAAGGTTGAAATGAAAGTCTTTTGGCAAAAAA